AATGAATGAACAAATGAACAAAGTTGCCAAGGTCATACAGTGAATTCCTGGTTAGGCCAGGATGGAATGGGGCAGTTCAGGCTCCTGTCCACTCTGATGTACTGCCACGTAGGGAATAGGTAGGGCCCAGTCTCTCCAAGGGCTGGTTCCACAGACTCGGCACATTTAATTTGGCTCAAAGGACCTGATCCACCTTGTAGCCTAATATCTTCATTTTCAAGGTGAGGCAACTGAAGCCCAGAGAGGGGGTTGTGTCCCCCAGGGACACACAGCAAGTCACTTGCAGAACTAAGACTAGAATCCAGGCTTCCTCTTTTGGAAGGCACCTCCTTCCTCTGGCACCTGCTACTTTTAAAGCCAGCAGAGAAACTGTTCTGCAGAGAACCTGAGCTCTCTGGGGTGGGGATGTGCCTGCACGGGAGTGGCAGCAATCAGTCAGGGAGCCGGGCCAGCCATCTGGGCCGGTGAAGACGCCCTAGGATTGCTACTACCCGCCCCCCATGCTCTCCTCCATTTTGCAGAGATTGGCTCTGGAGCTGAATTAGGACCAGGAATGAGCTTCTAACCGCTGTGATGATGTCTTGGGTCTTGAGAGCAATGTGCTGTACCCCAGGGCCCCCATTATAGTCCACATATTCCTGTGGGAGGAAACAAGGAAAACACTGTCATTGGCCCCTGTCACCCACACCCCAGCCCCTGCAAGAGCCTTGAAACCTCTTTCTTGCTTTCTTTTTCCCCAACCAGGCCCCCGGGGTCCAGGGAAGGCCCCACCTGGATCTGGGACTTCTTCTTGCCCGGTGCTGGCTCATTAATGGGCATCTTGATGGACTCCTCATAATTGGCCACCACGATTGAGCGCAGAGAGCTGTATTCTGTGTGCACCTGTGTGTCGTCCACAGACCAGAAACGATGGAACTGCAGATTCTTCAGGTACCTGCGGGGTGGCATAATTATGGACCCACTGGCTCTGAGCGCCAGCCGGGGACTGGCTCCCTGTCTCTATTTCCACCTTCCACAATACCCCCCGCCCCACCCCGAGCAGGCTCCAAAAAGGAACCACTGTTCACTTACATCATATACATCATAGACCTGTACCTTTATTATGACAATTTTCTTTCGGATGGAAGTGAAGTGTCTTGTAACAACACCCGTGTAGTATGGCAAAGGTCCAACAGATAGAAGTGCTTTGAGAAGGGCACTTGCTCCTAATTTGCACAAGGGCACTGTTTGGGGAGTGGCAGACTGCCTCCAGGTCTCCCAGGACCATGACCCCCTCTGTGCCGAGGTTCCCCAAGGTTCGTCAGAGAGAAGACCTTTCCATCACTTTGAGCCACAAAGCCCCTGGACTCCACGGTGATGGCTTTACAGGGAGAAGATGCCTCGGTGACATAAGGCTAGGCTCCTGCGCCCTTGTGGCCCCATTTCCCACTTTAGTGTGTTGAGGCAAGAACTGGGGGGCGGGCCTGACTCCTTTGCGCGGAGGGGTTGGGCCGGGACTCACCAGTCTGAGGCAGACTCCATCTCCTGATCAGGCTGGTTTCCCACAATGTGGTCGATAATCTCCAGACTGCAGCTGGGCCTGGGGGAAGGAAGCCATTAGGCGGTGAGGATGGGGCTATTTCCTCAGTCTCCCCGTTCCCACTGTAATAGCTCGCTGTGACATAGGACTACCAGAGGCAGCCGTTCGTGTCAGCTCACACACTCTTACTAGCCCCATTTGACAAATGGGGAACTGAGGCAGAGGGAAACGAAGTAACTGCTGAGGTCAAATGGCTGTAAAATGACAGAGCCACGGTTTGAACCCAGGCAGTTACGTCCAGAGCCTATGTTCTTAGCCTCGGTGCTACCCCTTCAAGCCACCCTTGGGGACCCTCGGGAGTTCCCCGGCAGGCTCCCAGACGCTCTGTCCCCTCAGAGAAGCCCCGTCTGCATGGAGGATCAGGGAAGTGCTTTCCACCCCCCCCCCCTTTTCTACTCCCCTCTCCCGGGCCTGAGGCTTACGCACAGCTTGGAAAGTAGGGGGTCCACGAATGCTGGGGCCTCGAATCCAGGCAAGAACCGGCCGGTATAGTTCATCTTTTCCACCAGGGTGTGTGTCGTGTCCCCGTACTATGGGTGGAAAACAGCGCAGCTTGGCCCCTGAGCCCTCATCCCCACTGAGGCTGGGCCACATGTCATGATGCCAACACAGCTTCCGCCTGGGTCTGACCCCAGCTCAATATGGTCACCTCCCCCTTTCTGAAACGAATTGCCACCTGCCATGTGTTCGGGACTTTAACGGTCTGCCTGCCCCACCCCCCCACCTCCCCGCCCCCTGGGCCCAGGATCTGTGAGGGCAAGGCCGCAGTTTGGCTCATCATAGTATCCTCAGCACCTAGGGCAGTGCCTGGCAAGTAGTGGGGGCTCAAGAAAAATATGTTGGCTAAGTGAGAATGATGAGGGCATTGGATCAAATTGTACCCAAGGGTTCTTTCAGTCATCTTAACAATCTTTAAGCTGCATTTAACCTTGAGGTGATGGGATCTGTGATTGTCTCTGTGCGACAGTAACACAGCCTTGGAAATCTTTGCTGAGTGTGTGCGACATGCCAGGCACTGTTGTTCGAAATGCTGTGCACAAATGAGCTCATCTGAGCCTCGCAATGACCCTGGCCGGGGTTATAGTTGAAGACACTGGAGGCACAGAAGAGTTAAGTAGCCTGTCGCGCGTCACACACGCGGTCCAGCTGCAGGCCCTGCAGACCGAGTCAGAGAGGTGGTGTGCTTTGTCCAAAGTCACACAGCTGGAAGAGGGCGGGGCTTCCCCAGACCCCACTCACTCCCTTCTGCAGAGCCCCTGCCTTTCGTTTACATCCCATTGTCATCACTGCCATCTCCCTCCCCACCCCGCAGGGGAGGAAGGGAGGAAGCTGGAGGTGGGGGGGGACCGGTTGCTCCCATGAGCCGCTGGCCAAGCCTTGCAGGCAGTCAGACTTGAGGGAGAACGTCTGCGTCGAGGCACAAGGGGCACAAGGGTAGGATGGAGCGGGGGGTGGGGGTGGGGTGGGGGGGGGCGAGGATGGTGTGGGGAATCCTGGCATCTCAGGGGAGCGGACAGCAGGAGGGGTAGGGGCACCGAAGTTAACTCACCGTCTGCAGCACAGCCAATTTCACCCTCCCGAATTTATCTTGCTCTATCCAGGGCTCCCGCACGATTTTGGCGCCCCGTTCCCGGGCTTTCTGCAGAGGAGATGGGTCAGGGAGGCGGTTAAGTGCTGGACCCTCCCAGAGCCCTTGCCGGCTCCCCTGGGGTCCAGCCTCTGCGGGACTTCCCCACCTCGTCCTGCCACAGGCTCCTCCGGTTTTTCCAGCCCCGGGCGGGAACTACAGCCAGCTTCAGCTACCGCCCCTGACACCCATGCCTTGTGCCCGTCTGGCAAATAGGGAAACTGAGACCCAGGCCCAGGGTTGGGGCTACGAGAGACAAACCAGGTGGGGGTGGGGGTGTGTCCCACCTCTGCTAACCCACTCTGTGGCCCTTCCCCCTCTCCAGTCCTCAGCTTCCCCATCTGTAAAACAGGCGATTGGATAGGAAGAATCTGACGGGCATTTATCGAGCACCTGTGTCAGACCCTTGCCAGGCACCCTTACATGCATGACTCCTGCATTTATTTAGCAAAACCTGACTGCATAGCTGTGCTTATCACATGTCAGGCATCAGTGAAGGTAGTAACCTCTTCCACCCTCACAGCAACATTACAGGAAAGGTACTGTGATTGTCTCCATCTTATGGTTGAGGAAACAGAGGCGCAGAGAAGTTAAGTCACTTGCCCAAAGTCTCACAGATAATAAGATTCAGACCTGGGCAGTCTGGCTCTGGAGTCTATGCTCTGAACCTCCAAGCTGCTTCTCGAATAGGGTGTTTGGTTCAGAGTCACGCTCGAGAAGTCGTAATTATGATCTCATTTCCTCGGGGTAAACCTCAGTGAGGTAGGTGCTCTGATTGTCCCCATTTTACAGATGTGGAAACTGAGGCTCGGGGAGACGACATGCGGCTGGCAAGGTGGAGCTCAGGTGTGCATCACAGCAGTGTCTGGGGTTGTCACCCCAACACGGCAGGTCCTCCGGCCCTGACCTACAGGGGACCCTGTGACAGACCAAGGGCAGCCCAGAAGCCGTCTCACCTGCACGATGTAGTCACAGTCTTCCACCTCAAATGCGATGTCCTTCACTCCATCGCCGTGTTTTACCAGGTGGTCGCCCATCTCTGTGGCCGGTAGGGGAGGTCATGGCGCTAGAGCCATGGCCCCCTCCCCCCTCCCCTCTACTGTCAGTCCCGGGGTTCCATCTCCTTCTAGGCTGGGGAACCCTCCCTGAACTGGACCCACTCCTTTGTTCCTTACCCTTCCCCCACAATAGCTTGTCTTCACCCCCTGGTACCCTGAGCCCCCGGGGCCTCCTTACCTTTATTCCAGGGGTTGAGGGCGGAGGAGAAGACAAACACGATCTAACAACACAGAGGAGAAAGGAGGGGTAGCTGGTGGCTCAGGAGAGCACCTGGCGATGTATTACCATCCCCTCCTCCCTGCCCACCTGGGAGACACCCCAGGACCACATCACCCCTCCCAGCCGGGCAGGATTCCTTAACCCTGGGTTCCAGCTCCGTCTCTGCCTTAGCTTCTCCCTGAGCTGAGCTCTTGGCTCTGGCCCCCCCCAGGGGAGGGAATCCCCAGGGGTCCCAGGGACCAGGGCACTGCTCGGACTTTCAGTTCTGATGTCTGAGGCCTCTGCCAACTTATCGGGAACATCTGTGAGGCCAGCGTTGGGCCAGGCCAAGGAGATGAAACTAACATCCGTGTTGCAAGTTGTACAAAGGTGCCCGTGGAGGGGAGAGTGGGGGCTCTCAGCCCATGTTCCCTTAGCCCCACCAGATGTCCTGGGAGAGAACCGGGTGGGCCTGGGGAAAGGGCCTCCTGGTCTACTTCACCCAGAGGCCAGAGCCCTAAGGAGACTCAGAGACCAGCAGGGGCAGAGAAGGCAAGTGGGAGCCTCCTGGGTGAGTGGGGTCCTGGGGTGGCGACTCACCTTGCCTTGCTTGATCACGTGGCTGACCACCTCCCGGGAACCCGTTTCCAGGCCCTTGTAGGCCAGAGGTTCAAAGCCCATCTTGTTACAGTAGAATGACGCAGCCTAAATCACAGAGTTACAACCGGGTTCCTGAGGGCCAGCCTGGGGGGCCCCCAGCTGAGAGCCTCCAGTCCCCCTAAGACTGTCTGCCCTGTTGCCCCAGGCACAGAGTCCGTTCTGCGAAGAAAGGCCACTGCCTGGCCCATTCTGATGTCAGATAAGTTTCCTGCTGGGGTCTGAGGCCCTGATTGTGTAATTAGGATCCAAAGAGTGTCTGTCTTTCCTGGGATGGTCCCAACACTGGCCCTGATCCTCCCCACCCAGGGGCCAATCACAGGCCCTACTGGAGGCCCGCCCTTGTCCAGGAGGCTCTCTTGCCTGCCCTCTGCCCTCTCCAGTTCCTGGCCCCAGCTTTTACCTGCTTGGCATTGCCAACCCAGAAGGTCACGGAGTGGAAATGGAGGAATCGGCCCCTCGCAGGCTGCAGAAGGAGAGAAGGGGAGAGGCTAAGTCTCTGGAGGTGGGTCTAGAAAAGTGCGGATGGAGAGGTGTCGTCTAATCACTTTCCTTGTGCCGGCCCTTAATTCCAAAACCGAGAAACCAAACACCCTGCAGCCTTGCCAAGCCTCAAGAGACGTTTCTCACGTAGAGACTGGTAGAGATTGAGCTCCTGGGGGTTAGGATCAGAAAGCCCCCACAGGAGCCCCGCCCAGGTCTCCCAGAGGGGAGCTGCCGTTTGCTACAGCCACACGGATTTAAGTTAGACCTTAGAAAGAACTTCCAGGGCTGGCTGGCTGGCTCAGTCGGAAAAGCATATGACTCTTGATCTCAGGGTCATAAGTTTGAGCCCCATGTCGGGCGAGAGATTATATTTAAAAAAAAAAAAATCTAGAAAGAACTTCTAGACAGGATTAATAGATTGGTAGAAATTTAAGAAGAAGAGGTAAAATTTTTCTTAGCAAGGCCAGGCTGAGTCCTGCTAAGTCTTTGGGGGACAGGGACGGGCAGAGATGAACCTGAGCAAGCATCTTGGACGTCACACACCCACCGAAGTTCCCTTCCTGCTCTTTGCTGACATCCCAGTCTCCCGGGGCCCTGACCCCACATCTCCCCTCCTGCTTACCTTCTCTCCTTTGTTGCTGTAAGTCGTCTGAGGAGAAAGAAAAGGACATTAAGACTCGGAGGCTCAGATACAAGGCACGTGTCTGGAAGTCTCACCGCAGATGTCACCAGGGGGAGGCTGCCATGGCCGCCGGCAGGCACTTACCATGATTAATCGAGGTCAAACTTCCTGCTCTAAGACTGAGACAAGAGGCCAGTGGAGTGCTGTTCACAAGTATTTAACTCCGAACAGGTCCCGCCCCTGGGCTCCTGGCCTTCCTAGGGGTGGGCGGGAGCTGATCCCAGTGCTGGAAGCACCTAGGCCTGGGAGCCTCTGATCTAGCCGCAGCCTCATTGGACAGGGTGATGCTGTCGGGCCCAGAGAAGGGGTGTGACCCCCAAGGCCAATAGCCAGCAGCGCAGGGCCACAGCAAAGAGCCAAGGGCACACTCCAGTACCCCAGGCTGGGACTGTTTTCTCTGTCCATCAGAATAGAAAGCTCAGAAGTCAAGGCCAGATGGAGTGCAGTGGTCGCTCCAGAATTCTTGTTTAGGGAGAATTTGAGGGGGGATAGGGGCTGGTCTTGAAGCCCTGAATGCATAGCGAGTACATGGTTTATAATTAGGTAAAAGGGTCATACTCCATGGTGGTTAGAGGCATGGGTATGGGGTTTGGATCCTGGCCCTGCTACAAACTATGTGACTGGGGAAAGTCATGGAACCCCTCTGAGCCTCAGTCTCCCCGTGTGTAAAATGGAAGCCATAATAGTATGGTTGGGATTAAGTGAGATAAAGCATAAGTTTTTGAAATAGCGCCTGGCGTGCGGAAAGGTCACTTGTTAGCGCTGGTCATAATTACTTATGTTCCTTTAGGGCTCTCGGCAACTGATGGAGAATAGGGGGCCTTGGCGTTGCCACAGCCTGAGTATTGGGAAAGAGGTTATGGTCCTGCCCCCTGCCCCAGGTTCGCAATATCTGCAGACTGGTGGGAAGGTGGAGCTAATGGCTCTCGGAGGAGGAATGCCAGGACCCTCCTAAGCAGCCCCACGCCTGCTCAGGTCTCAGGTCTCACTTTCCTGAAAGATGGAATGGTGGCTGCTGGCCAGCCATGGCATTCACCTGAGGGTCCCAGGACAGCCTGCCGCCTCTCGTTCCACCCCAGTCCCCAGAACCTCTGTTGCTGAGCCATCCTTCCCTTTTCTCAGGGAACTTACTTTTCAACTATCCTCATTGCCTGGAAACTTTTTCTAGTCTCTCATGCTTACGGTCTTGGCTCATGACTGTGTTGTGACCCCCTGCCCTCTTGCATTTGGGCTCCCCAAATGTCCTGCATCAAGCCTTTTTTCCCCTCTTTCTTTTGTTTTCTTTTTTTAAGTTTATTTTTGACAGAGAGAGAGAGAGAGACAGAGCATGCGTGGGGGAGGGGCAGAGAGAGAGAGAGAGAGAGAGGGAGACACAGAATCTGAAATAGGCTCCAGGCTCTGAGCTATCAGCACAGAGCCCGATGTGGGGCTCGAACTCATGGACCGCAAGATCATGACTTGAGCCGAAGTCCAACGCTCAACCAACTGAGCCACCCAGGAGCCCCCCTCTTTTTCTTTTCAGTATGTAAAAACAAATCAGCGTGAGTGGTAATGCCTTTAAGGATCATTTGATCCAACATTACCATATTTCAGGTGAGAAACTAACAGTAAGAAAGTGCTGGAGGCTACTCTCCTCTTTCCTTCTTCCCTCCCATGCCTTTCTCTCCTCACTGGGGAGCAGAGAGTGGCTTGTGCCAGGGAGGAGCCCCCCTTCCGCCTTCCTCAGCAAACCCTATCAGCTCCCCCCTCCCAATGGGCTGTTCTCAAGTGGCCACCTTCTCCAGGAAGCCCTCTAAGAACTCACCAGACCCAGGTCTGAGGTTTAGCTAAGCCCTGCCACGGGTCAGCCTTAGCCAGCAGCCCTCAGGTGGGGTCCAGGACAATTAGAGAACTTTCCCAAGTCATGCAGTTAGCAAGGGGCACGGTACAGCTGGAATATGAAATGGGTTATTCTGATGCCACAGCCTACACTTTTTTCTTTTAATTAAAAAAAATGTTTTAATGTTCATTTATTTTTGAGAGAGAGACAGACAGAGCATGAGTGGGGGAGGAGCAGAGAGAGAGGGAGACACAGAATCTGAAGCAGGCTCTGGGCTCCGAGCTGTCAACATAGAGCCTGACGCAGGGCTTGAACCCACAAACTGCCAAATCGTGACCTGAGTTGAAGTCAGACACTTAACCGACTGAGCCACCCAAGGGGCCCTTGCAGCCTGCACTTTTAATTCCTGCATTGCCTTCCATACAAATAGGAGATGTTGGTATTCCCACTAGAAGGATGGGGAAACTGAAGCCCAGAGAAGGAACATGTGTCTGCAAGGTCTCAGAGCTGGTAGGAATAGGGATTAGGGTGCCTGGGTGGCTCAGTGGGTTAAGCGTCTGACTTCTGCTCAGGACATGATCTCACAGTTTGTGAGTTCAAGACCCACATGGGGTTCCCTACTGTCAACACGGAGCCTGCTATGGATCCTCTGTCCCCTTCTCTCCCTGCCCTGCCCCCCTATTGTGCTCTCTCTCACTCTCTTCAAAAATAAAATAAACACTTAAACAATTAAAAAAAAAAGAATAGAGATCCAAACCCTGGCCTATTTGCTTCTGGGATTGGATCTCATTCCACCAGTCCAGACATCGTTTCCCAACTTCTCTCTTCTGCTTTCTGGGCAAGTCTGGAGACTGGCAAGGTGATCCTACCTCCTTGTTCTGCCCCTTCTGGGGGTGCCTTGTGAGCCTGCCCCCAGTGTCTACCTCAGCCCTCTGGGTCTAGGTTTCTAACTGAGAAAAATGGTGTGGAGGGAGCCCAGAGTGGAGCTCACAGGCCAGAAGTTTCCACCAAGGGAGAAGGGCCTCAGTGCAGCCCTCTCGGCCCCCCAGCCGAGGCGGAACATCCCGTCCCCGTGCGCAGAGTGGCCAACTGGAACCTCTACTCCTGGAGCTTGGCCTGACTGGTGTCCTAGGCACAAGTCAATGTTTACCAGATCAAGGGAGCAGATTATCAGCAGCAGAGGGCTGGAGGCAGATGTCTGGCTCAGCTGGCCAGGGCTGGTGGCTTTGTCCTACCCTCTGGACTTTGCTTCCAGAAACACTGTGGATCTCAGTCACACTCTGGATATACTGCTAGGTGCCTCTTTCAGCTGCACGCCGGGGCTGGGGAGGGAGAGCCCACAGGGCTCAGTTTCTGTAGCCCCCACGTTCCCTCCCAGACTCTCCTTCGCAGGCTGGGCCCAGTTGGATAACGCATCAGCAGTGGCTGGGTTATGGCCGTCTCTGCTCTTTGTTTCTGAGTTGTCTCCTTCTGCCCAATATGAGCTGGGAGCTGGGTTCTAGAAGCCTCGCTCATGGAGTCTTCTCTCCAGAGGGACTATGAAGGCTCATCTTCCACTATGCCCTGGTGTGCAGAAAAGAGTAAACCCAGCAGGCTTGAGGAGAGAGGCCGGCTTTCACGGTTGAGCCTTGGTTGGCACTGAGAAACTTGAATTTCAGGAAGGTCCCCACCATCCCCAGAAATGATCAGAGTAGTTCCTTGTGTGTAAACTGTTTGCATAAGCCATGTGCTTTACAGCAAACACCTGCTTTCTTTCTTTCTGGGAGTCTGGGATTTTGGTTTGTGCTGTGGAGCGGGGTGCCCATATGACCGGCCCCCAGTAAAAACCCTGGTATCCGAGGCTCAGGCAAGGTTCCTTTGTAGACAACATTTCACAAACCCCTTGCTGGAGGAAAGCAGTGCATCCCATGGGACACCCCCCCCCTCCCCGGGAGAGGGCCCTTGGCAGCTTGTACCTGGTTTCCTCTGGACTCCAACTACGTGCCTTTTCCCTGGGCTGGTTTGGCCCTGTGTCCTTTGGCTGTAACACATCTGAGGCGTGGGTATGGCCAT